GTGATTCCTCCACAGAACACAGAACAAGGTACGATGCTCCGGCACCAGCTCGATTTTAGATGAATGCTGCTCATGCTTACTAAGAGCCAAAGTTTCCGTCATGTGCTGCTCCAGCGAAGATCTGGCAAGCAAGAATGCTGACATCAGCTGCGACAAGCAAGAACAAGCTACAACCCGTACCAAAATCGGAAAGCTCTTCAAAATCCTTTTTCACTTCTGTTCACCGGAAATCACGACAACATGCTCCATTTCCCGCATGTGAGGACAATGCGTTTCCGAATCGTTGGACTAATAAGAGACGCAAAAATCCAAAAATATATATGGAACAACAGCGAGGGGGAACAATGCACTGGAGAAGTAAGCACGAAGATGTGATTGGGATATCCTCACTTACAGATACAATGATTTCATTTTCCCTAGACGCATTTACATCTATAAAATAATCTTCACTGTTGCCAATTTTATGGCTCTCCTACTTGTCTTGTTCCTGTGACATCTTTCTTTATCAGGAATGAAAAACAGATCTACCGCAATTTGTCTGGTCAAAAATAATAATTCTTCAAGACAACTCGGAAATGTGCTTCTTCGAATCATACTCGGTTTAATCGGAAATAAGTGTGCTCCTAAAACATTTCCTCTGCCAAAATTTCGGGACGATTAGCTGTGCAGAGTATGTTCTTGTTGTACAATTTACTCAATTGCTTTGACGGTGAACTTAATTGGAACGCTTGAGCTACTCTACAAATATTTCCTCACGGCAGTAGCCTAGAAAACCCTGATTTTGATTGTGCGGGAGGCTCTTTTCTGCTAAGCAATCAAGTGATGCTTCATCGACTGCTTCAAACAAAATCTTCTGTCATAGGGCCCTGGATCTAATACGACAGAATAGAAAATTTGCCCGATTGAGCGTTCTGAGCCCCCCTTATTGCTTTTATCCCTCGTTCTTTCGTTATCACTTCCTGTCGCTTGTAAGGCCAACATTTGACACCATGGTGTTAGCTTTTCACTGCTAAGCTGGAAGACTCGACGAATCCACTGATTCTTGTCCTCGGAAGCTGCTTCTGCGCCGAAAGGCATGTGCATGCGCACCGTGTCATGAGATTTCCTCGAAGTTCATTTTCAACTTTTTTGTGTTCTAGGATATGAAGCGTTGGAACGGAATACGCAAAAATCACCGAGAGCGAGCTTCAAGCAGAAAGGTTTGTCGCAAGTTTTGATGGATTTTATCACTGGAGTAAAAAAAAACCCAATGGAAGTTTCCAGAAAATTCCAGAAGAAATCTGAACTATTTCGGCAGCTACACTGTGCATAACAAAATATAATTCGATAAGTGTGTCTGCTGATTTTTCGGTGCGGCGTTTACCCAGAAATTCACAAAAATGCCGTCCCCGTAAAATTGGAGTACTCAAATCTGGGAGGGAAACAAATGGCACAGTGTGAACACTGATGGTAGCTGATAGAAAGTGATAAAAATTGTGGGGGGCTGGTACGGAGTCTTAGAAGGGAGAGACTCTTGGGAAAGGACGGCAGCGCTGGTTAAAAATCATAGGACGTTTTCACTTCTTCGCCCCTCTCGGTGCAGTAGCGCTAAAAAGTCTTCGGCAAAACGCTTTTACGCTTTTTCGCTCATAACTTTTCTCTCAGTGGAGCAAATCGTGCAAAATTTTGATATGTTCAACTGAAGTATGGTTCACACTATCAACACTATTTGACTACAAAGCAGCAATATCCACATAATTGGAACGAGATGCTTGTTGCGGTTTCAAACTTCGCTAAAAGCAAAGTTAGTGACGTGTGGTTCTTCGCACATTGTGTGCATTTTTCTCCTCTATTATGTTCGGCATCAGCGTGCGGACACTTCAAACATGGCAGAAAGGAAAGAAATCCTAGCAAAGACCAATGTCTGTATTTCCAATTGATCTTGAGTTCAAGCTCTTTGGGATATCTGGAGCATGATCAGAATGTAGTTTAATAGTGTTAAATATCCACAATACACCATATATTGAAATTGATTAGATCCAGTAATAAAGGAGTTATGACTAAAAAGTAGGGCCGAAGAAGCATTCGGTCGAAGACTTTTTAGCGCTTTCGTGTATACGGCGTAACCTTGGCATTTTAATGTATTACACAGGATAAGACGGGATGACAGCGTTGGTCAAAAAAAAAGCGACATATGCGATGTTAGGGTCTGATTGAAGTCAGCACCATATAATTACAACAAGTTCGCTTTTCTTTTATCAGAAATGGGTTTTAAGTTCCTATGGCGCTTCAGATAGAGACTTAGTTATTAGGTTGAGCCATAGGTCCTCGGACAATGTGGTAGTGATGACTTCTAGAAAGCATAACTCGGGAATAAGTGACGAAAATGGACACGCCAGGCATCATCCAATAGAGTACAGAAAGCTCTTTTGAATACATATTGAGGAGTACCCTTCATTGTTTCCTCTCCTGCAACAATGCCTCATAATCTCAATCCGTCGCATCTCCATCTCCGCAACACCATTCTATTTCTTTTTTTATCTGGCTAAGAACCCACAGCAATTGATAGTCGTATGAGGGTCGTTTACTAGGACGCTCCTCCTGAAAGCACAATTTTCAAGTGGCATTCTGGTTCGCGTCGGGCGACTATTCCGTGGAAGATGGAGACTGTCTGGGACGCCTAATGAAGTTAGATTCAGACGTGCTGCGGAGCGAGGTTGAAGCCGATCCGTATCACTCGTGAACTGGCAGTCTTTCTTGGGGTAAGTCATTTCACAGTTGTTCGTAGGTTGAAGTCAATAGGCAAGGTGCGAAAGCTCGGTCGAAGGGCACCTCATGCTTTGAAGCAGCATGACAGGGACCGCCGCGCCATCATGGCACTTTCTCTCCTCACGCTCAAGAGCACCCACATGTGGCTCGAGCACCTAGTCACCGGGAATGAAAAGTGAACTCTCTACTCTAACGTTCACCGAGGTGCTCAAGGGGTTGACAAAGGTGCGGATGCAGAAGACTTCCCTAAACCCAACTTACACTTCGAGAAGGTTATGCTCTGGTTATGTCAGTTCTTCCGAGGACTTATGACTCAACCTAATATGTATGTAGTCTGATATGCTATTTTCACAAATCAAGAAATTAAAACTGATAATGAGTCTGCTAAAAGAGTGCTGAGCGCTTCAAGTTTTCCTGCTTGAGAGGTAGTGTCAATTGAAATGCGCTGTTGCTCACATTGGCTGCAAGGGTCACTGTGACGTAGTTTCAGTTCTCTCCCTCTTAAGGCGAACGCTGTGGGATTGCACTCCTCATCGTCCCTGTTTTTGCAAAAAGTGCTTTCATTAGAATAAGAGCCCTCAGACCATTGATTGTTAATAATTCGAGTTTGCGCTCAGTTTCGGCTGTTATTTGTAATTTATTTGCAACAATGGACACACCCGAGTAAAGCGTGAGGAAAGTTCAACATCGATGAAACCTTGATAAATATGTTGAGCAAACGTGTGTGCCTTTATCTGGTTCCGAGTCGATTGAGTGTTTTGTCCGCCGTTGTAGAGAAACAGCATTTTTAAGGTTCGCGTTTTGTGAACAATACATCTGCTTCACTAACTTTTGGTCTGAGCTTTCAACGCTTATCTGTTTTGAGTAATATGGGTTTGCTTCCCGCCCTCGTTCCTGTTTCTCCAACCCAAGCTTTCTTACCAGTGGAAGACATTATTTATTTCTCATCTTGGCTTTCATTAACGCTCGTTGTTCTTATATTAGGCGCAACGGCTCTTCACAAAAATTCTCTGCGTCTTATTTTCGAGCTTGACATGAAGACCTACATAGGAGAAATCTTCGGAAGAGATACGCTTAAAATTCGTTACTGATGAAACCAGTGTACAAACATGCAATCGAATCGAGACCAAATAAATGCATAAACCTACGCTTGCTCCACACGTTTTTTTTAAAGCTGACCCATCGACACTGAGTTTGCTCGCGTATTTCTCGATTCCAAGATGACTTCACTCTGATGTGTGTTTCAGTGTCGTTACAGAAATTTTCAAAAAGTAGAAATTCGGTCGAGTGTTAACCTGAATTAATCGCAAAAAACGGTTTAAAAGTTTTCATTTGTAAGAAAGGACAGCTTGCAAAACCGCCGGGCGTGGAGTAAACCCGGTTTGCTCCACGCCACGGCGACCCTTGCATCATTGCGGGCAGCTAAGCATTTTGATTGGCACCATCTCTCCATGCTCTAAGCAAGCTAAATTTGAGGTCTCTTATCAATTTTTAATGAGGAATCAAAACCTTCCCCTGGTCNGCTGTTATATTATTACAATTGCATCCGAAGATTTATAGCCTTCCTATGAATTTTCCTTGACACATTGCGTATCCGACCTTCAATGAACTGAGTATTTCTGCCGATGAGATGAATAAAGATAAGAATGATATGAATATTATCTTCCGAAAGTTTCCCGTGAATACGATAAGCCACGTACAGTAAGCCGTGCTGTTTGCATCAGAGTGCGAGCGATAAAACTCGTGGAGAGGATGAGATTTCTAAACAACGAATATTGGTAAAATCAAGAATGGCATATGAAAATATCAAGCTAAGTCGGTGAACGTTTGCGCCCTGAGCCGAATTCATAGTGGCCACGTACGCATTCAAGTGCACAAATTTTCTGGCCAAAAATGGTTCAAAAAATAGGAACGGAGGGTCAACAGCGCATTTTGTTTCCTGGTAGAGTGGGAGCCGATCGATCTGACTGATGTAACATGATTCGATTTGGGTCGTATCCGTCCCGAGCAGTGCATCTTTTCAGAAGTGGTGGTCAAAGTGGAAGACCAAAATTCGGACGCATGTACAAAGGTTTATACTTTACTAAACAGTTCCGTGGACTCGAGATTTGAAAAGTGCCAGCCACACTCATTCGAACAAGTCTCTGGTAGTTGTATAAATAACTTCTCTTTTTTAATTTGCTGGCCCCAAAAGTTCCACAGAAGACTGCATCATAACTTTCCTAGGTGTGGACGCAACTTCGCACTCAACTTCTACCCCTTTTTACTATCCCTATGAAGAGCAAAGCTTTGCAGCAATTTCAGGATCTGAACTTACAGGAGGGCTGGACGGTTCTGACAGTCATCAACACGTCTCCAGTGAGTTCTCAACTATTCAAATGTGTTCTATTGTGGCTCATATAAATCATGCGCGCAGTAATATAAACCTTATTTAGATGTGCCAATTTCACATTCATCGGAGGCGGTGAGTTTCAATCTTTCCTTTTACTAGATTATGTCCACAACATCAGGAGCTATGAATTTCCACCCAAACCCCGCTCCTTGACCTACTGTGGACGGAGTCCTGTTTCTTTTTAAGAAATTATAGGTTTCTTGCAAACTCCGCCCACACTGGCGCACGTTCCTCTCATTTATAGAACTCTATTTGCCTACTGATTCCATACTCGACGCATCTTTTTCCCGTCCAGGACTTCGTGGAACCGAGTCATAATGTTTCGTGTATAGCTCCGCACACACATGTGCCTGCCCCGCCCATAAATGATGGTTGACTTCGTTTCATTTACTAACCTCTAACCACTTTTTTCCCGCATATAACGCTTCTGAACAGAGTTATGGTATTTTGATCGGAGCCCCGCCCACTTTGGTGCCAACCCCGCCCACTTTGAGGATTTGATACATTTGTTCATTACCTCTAAACGCTTTTTTCCGCATTCAAAACCTTTCCGAACGAAGTTACACTCATTTTTGAAAAGTAGCTTTCACCTAAACGCACACTCCGCCCATTGTGGGTGGGCCTCCGCTCACGACAATTGTACTGGAGACACCTTCGACAATGCTTCCTCTCCTCATCAACCTTTTTCTGCTCTGTTGGCTTTCTCCAAACCGAGTTATAAATGTTTTCATAAAGCATTGCATTTTTGGAGACCGCCCCATCCACTGGGGTGGTCTCTAGTTCGATCTAACGGTACTATTCTACTATTACACCCCCAAAAACTCAAAATTTTA